AACACAAAAAACAACTTATTGGCAAGGATGTAGCGAAAAAGAAACCATTGTGCACTGTTGGTGGAAATGCAAACTGGAGCAGCCACTGTGGAAAACAGTATGGAGGTTTCCCAAAATAATTAAAAATAGAATTACCATATGATACAGTAATTTCACTACCAGGTATTTACACAAAGTATATGAAAACACTAATTAGAAAAGATATATGCACCCCTATGTTTATTGCAGCATTATTTACAACAGCCAAACTATGGAAGCAGCCCACATGTCCACTGATAGATGAATGGATAAAGAAGACGTGATATAGATAGATGATAGATAGTAGATAGATAGATAGATGATAGATAGAAAGAATAATGTATATATATAATGTATATAATGTGTGTATATATATAATGAAATATTATTCAACCATAAAAAAGAGTGAAATCTTGTCATTTGCAACAACATGGATAGAGCTAGAGAATATAATGCTAAGCAAAATAAGTCATTCAGAGAAAGACAAATAGCATATGATCTCACTTATAAGTGCAATTTAAAAAACAAAACAAATGAGAAAAGGAAAAAAAGAGAGAAGGGAGAGAAACCAAAAAACAGACAATTAATTATACAGAACAAATAGATGGTTACCAGAGGGGGGTAGATGAGGGGATGGGGAAAATAAGTGATGGGTATTAATGAGTGTACCTATCATGATGAAATAACATTTAAAAAATTATAAAATAAATTAATATCACTGGATTCTTTTACTTTTTTAATGTGACCACCAAAAAGTTAAAATCACATGTCATGCTTGAATTATTTTTCTAATGGATGCACTGGTCTGTGATTTAAAAAGCTAATGATACAAACTGAGGGTTCTAGAGGGGAGGGGGGTGGGGGGATGGGTTAGCCTGGTGATGGGTATTAAAGAGGGCACGTACTGAATGGAGCACTGGGTGTTATACGCAAACAATGAATCATGGAACACTACATCAAATACCAATGATGTAATGTATGGTGATTAACATAACATAATAAAATAAAATTTTAAAAAATGATAAAAAAAGTTAATGATAGTCCTCTCCCCACAAGATCTTTTCCCATTTATTTTATTGAATATGCTTCAGTGTGATCTCAAAGAAAATTAACAATAACATAACCTTAAATTAGCACAGCTTCATATACCACTATGTTTAATTTTCATCATTTCTATATGTTTCACCTATTTTTTACATTAAAATAATCTACTTCTAAAAGTTTTAGTGTTTGTTTTGCTTTCTTATTCATGCTCAAAAACTTGGTATGTGAGAGCCCAACTCTTGACTTCAAATCTTCTAATTTGAGTAAACTACTTTGCTTTAAATAATCCCAGGACCAAGATCAATCATCCTCTTCAATAATTGGAGGGTAGGTGCCCATATACGGTGTCTATCTCTTCATCAGAAAATCTCTGAATGTGAGGAGCTCTGGTCATTGCTGTTTCTTCATCTCTTAACTCTGGGCATACAGGAAGACATCCCAGGACCAGAAACTACCAGGACTAGAATTTATCAGACCAAAGAATTCTGACACTGGGTGAAAACTCATTTGGCATTCAGAAATACAGATTGTAATATAATAGATCATAATATCTACCATAATAGGAATAATTTTACTAGAGTATTGAATGAACTTTGAACTCCTGAACATTCTTTCTCTAAATACATTATGGATACATTATTCCTCTAAATACAGACTGTATCAGGTTAAATTTCCCTTAAAGTCTAGGGTGAATCTTGAGCCCCACCCTCGTCCTACCTGCTGCAGCCTGATGAAAAATGAATGAATATGTATTAATGTTCCTGTTGTGTGCCTTTGGGTTTACAAAATAATATCACTCATATGTTTAGAAGAATCACAGAGAAGGTGCAGGAAACCATATGCGGCAGAAAGTAGAGAATCTGATTAACAAACATGTAGCAGTACAAAAGAGCAAAATATAGCTCTTTTAAATAATTTTATAAATGAAGACCAGGAGATGGATCAGAGAGATAACAGGGGATTGGGAAGGGCCATGAAAGGAGAAAAAGCACATTAAGAATCACCTTGAAACTAGAAATTGGCATCTGTGGCCTCAGAGGAGATTTTAATTTGTTATGCCATGAATTTCATCCTCCTTCTCAAAGCTTCAAATTACTTCTTTCCTATCTGTCATAACTTTGGCTCAGGTTCATTGGCAATGCTTAAACACTAATATTGATATGAACTGAATGCTCTTAAAATGATCTTTGTTCCCTCGAATTCACTCATTCACTTTTAAATGCAATTTTAACAAATGTTAAGAAAATAATCCTAATTTTATCTCCCTTTAGGATCCATCCTTTACTGCTTTGCTAGCCACTCAAACGCAAGTCCAAAAAGAGATTGTAAATAAACACAATGAACTAAGGAAATCAGTCTCTCCACCTGCCAGCAACATGCTAAAGATGGTAAGAGGCAGTGATAAAAGCTAATGGTGGGAATCAGCAGTGATAAGAGCAGGGAGCTGGTAACTGGCATCTCTTAAGAACTTTGTGATTACAAAGTTTTGCTTCCATTCTGCTATTTTATTTGAGCTGTGTTATGGGCATGCAGAAATTAATTTTCATTTTTAATGGTTAAATAATCTGTCAAGGTTACGGGGCTCTTAAGTCGGGAAGGCAAAATTAGAATCCAGATCTTCAGACACCAAGGGTGAAGCCATTGCACCTTCTGTTCACTATCTGCCCTAGTCTAAAATAAAGGAGGTCCCTTTCTTTCATGTATTTTATTCTGTTTAAGTAATCTCTATGACAACGCGAAGCTCAGACTCAGGACCCGAAGAGTGCTGTGGGTAAATACGAGCCCACTTTCCATAGCATAGTTCATAAACACTAGACTATCTTCCATTTGAATGCAACGGGCTGCAAGTGGAATTGGGAATAATCTAGGCCTGCTTATTACTAAGGAAATATAATACGAAGACTTCACACCTTGAGTATTTAGAGTAGCCCCATTACTATAAATCCTACGTGTGGTTCCTGTACTATCATAAATTGTCAGATACTGTATTAGATAGTTCTATCAGTAGACACATCATTTATGAACTTCTCTTCATGTGGATATTGGCACTGGAGCAGATAAACACACACACACATATATACCCCTAACCAAAAGGTCTTTTCATAGCACTGATGATCAGATACTATATAGAAGTTTAAAGCAGTGCAACTCAACCTACCAATCAGATTATAAGCCATATGCTTGTTGGAGTTGAATCTTTAAGTGTATTTTTTTCTTGTGACATTTAGGAATGGAACCAAGAAGCAGCAGCAAATGCCCAAAAGTGGGCAAACAAGTGCACTTTAGAGCACAGCGTGCCAGAGGACCGAAAAACCAGTACGTAAATGAGTATTTTTTTGAATAAATGAACAAATAAAATAATATTGGAAAAATCAAATAGAATGGAACATTCTGGGGTGTTATAAGAAGACTTCGAGAATAAATTGTTGCTTATACTGCTCTATTTATTTATTACTTTTTTATTTTTATTTTTAAGAGAGAGAGAGTGTGTGAGCGGCCAGGGTGGGGGGGGAAGGGGGCGGGGAGTGGGGCAGAGGGAGAGAGAGAATCCCAAGCAGTCTCCATGTCCATGGAGCCTTACATCTTACACAGGGCTTGATTTCACGACCCTGAGATCATGACCTGAGCCGAAATCAAGAATTGGATGCTTAACCGACTGAGCCATCCAGGCGCCCCTATAGTGTTCTTTTCAAATTAAAGTATCTGTAGAAGGAGAGAGAATTAGAGATACCATTTTGTGCTTGTTGATTGTTTACATTATGCAAATGACATCTGAAGCAATACTTCATTTTTTCTTTCAACCAGCTCATGCGTCAACAGGTCATGTATCATTATTTCCAGATTTAAAGATGAGAAGATGAAGGCAGGGGAGGAATGACTTCCCCAAGACACAATCTGAAGTGTGTCATATACTGGAAAGTTAACCAGGCTTAATTATTTTTAATCCTCTGCTCTTTTTTGTGATATTGTGTAGCTGTTTGAAGTTTTCATGTCTCTTCTTTTGTATTCATAAGATACTAAATTATGGTGATTTTTTTCCTGAATTTTGGGACTTTTGCTCTAAAAATACTTAAATTTTTAAATCATGATAAATACTTTGGGTATGTTGGTTCATCTTTTAATTTTTGAATCCTTATCAAGTATTATAAATACTATGAAAGAAAAAATGTTTTATGCATAAACCTTTACATCAAATATTTATTTATGTTATCAACCATAATATACATATAGGCAAGCTCAATTTGAAAGCAATGAATTTTTACCTTTAATTTCATCACATTATTACTCATATTGTTGATGCTGTTCTGTTAATGAAATTATGAAGAGAATGACTGCATTCAGTAGAAGACTAAAACAAATGGTCTTAAAGATGCAAGTCTACTATTAGATTCTTAGTTTCTTTTTTCCATATTAAAAGAGATACCCAAGAATATTTTATACTCTCTTTAAGCAGCAGGTAGACATTATATTTCAAGCTACCCAAATGTAACTCATAATGAGAGCTTGAAAAGATAGAGAATAAGTTTCTGGGCAACAACTTACTTATTTTATTGTGGTAAGAGCACTCCATGAGACTTACACCCTTAACAAATAATTAACTGTACTGTATGATATTACTGACTAGGTACAACGTTGTATAGTAGAATTTTTTCATCTAGAAGTTATTCATCTTGCTTACCTGAAACTTTATGCCCATTGATTGGTAATTCCCCCATTTCTCCTTCCCGCCATCCTTATCTATCACTGTTCTATACTTTGATTCTATGAATTTGACTAATTTAGATACTTCATATAATGGAATCATGCAGTAGTTATCTTTCCGTGACTGGATTATTTCACTTAATATCATGTTTTCAAGATTCGTCCATAGTGTCTCACCCAACTGTTGCAGAATTTCCTTCTTTTTTAAGGATGAATGACATTCATTGTATATATGTGTGTGTCATTTTGTTCATCCATTCTTCTGTCCATGGATTTTAGGTTTCCTTATATAGACTACTGTGAAGAGTGCTGCAATGAATATAAAGAATGCTAATATCTCTTCAAAATCCTGATTTCAATTCTTTTGGATAAATGCTCAGAAGTGATATTACTGGATCATTTGGTAGTTCTACCTTTAATTTTTTGAGGAACCTCTATGCTTTTTTCCACAGCAGTTACCCCATTTTTTATGACGAACAAAAGTATCCAGGATTCCAATTTCTCCACATCCTTCTCATCACTTGTTGTCCTTTTTATTTTCCCCATAATAGACATCCTGACAGGTATAAGGTGATATCTCACTGTAGTTTTGATTTGCATTTCCCTGTGATTAGCAACATTGAGCACCTTTTCACATACCTGTTGGCCATTTGTGCATCTTTGGAGAATGTCCAATCAAATCATGGTCAGAAAAGATCTGTAGTCAGTTCCTCAGGCAGCCTCCTGAAAGAGATAGATCTTTGGGCATTCCATCCAACTCTTTCCCTACCAACCAAGAGGCTAGAAGCTCAGGTTTTTTATCTGCTCACTCTGTGCTGAACTAGGAAGGGAAGCTATGGCAACTATGAACCCAAATCTCTATCCTCATCAGCTCCACATCTTGGTTATGCTAGAGATCTGTTAACATTGTCAGAGAGGCAAGTCAGAAGTCAATCCTCTGGGCAGCATCTGGAAAATCTGTGGCACTGGATGCCCAGGCCAACTTTTTCCCACTGCAGGGAGAAACAGGCAGCTATGGTATTTGCTTGCTTGCTCTGTGCTGAGCTGGTGAAATGAGCCATGGCATCTACCAATCCAAACCACCATCTCTGTTCTCCCCCATGAAGTAACAGTGTAACTATGCCAAACCCATCAGAGCTTCAAGACAAGAAAGACAGAAGTGAGTTCTTTAGGGAGCCCTGGAGAAATTGGAGCATTGGACACACTGATCAACTCTTTGCTT